ATGAGGTTGCTCATGTACACAGTTTCAAGCTGGATTTGGTTTCCCTCTGTTCTGCACCCTGTGCAACCTAGATCACTCTGGTACTTTTAACTCATCACTCATGAGTTTGCCCGATTTTCCGTGATGAAAGAGTGAATATAGTCTGTAGGACCACAGCTACTTAAAAGTTACAGTTTCTGGCTCCTGAAAATAATAAATAGTAATTACTTAGTCCTAAGCGTTTTTATGGATAGATTTAGGTTTCCATATTCATTACACGCTTTAGGTCACTGCAGCTGATAGGTAGAAATATAAAAGTGTAATCTTTAGAAGAGAGAGATCTCTAGACCCCATTCCAAACACTCTTATTAGCTTGCAATCAACTGACCTAAGTCTGTGCTGATTATGAAATGAATTATGTGCAGTGTTGTGTGCAGGCGTCATGTAGGGCATGGCTCATTTGATTTCAACAAGTTCTCAAATTATCAGTTCCTGATTTCACTTCCTTTGCACTTCAGGCTCATTATCTTACTTCAGTTGCTAACTTGCATAACCCCACTCAGAGCTGTGATCCCTGTTTTGGGAACCACTGCCTTAATGTCTACCACCATTTTCAAGTGATCTTTACTGAAAAAAAAAATACTGGAAACATTTACTTTTTGGATTTTGCCAACCAAACAGAAAATACATTTAGCACTTTAAGTATTCCTTCAGTCACCAAGCATATTTAAGACTTGCTTTCAAAAAGTCTTACAGACTAATGAATGTCTAGTATGTATGCATAAGAAATCACCCACGGTTCAATTTCCTTTTAGTTTCAAACAGCTCCATAACAATTATTCTATTACATCACTTGTCTCTTCTTAAGGTAAGGACAGTGATTGTTCTGGCTACATCAGTGAATAGTTCCTTTCTCTGAATCAAGAAGCTGTTTCAGAGGCAAAAGTACTTGGGGCTACCACAGCCCGGGGAATCCTAAAAATATGTATTTGCTGTTCTGAACCTGATGCTCTGTCAGTGCCTCACTGAAGGAGGATTATTTAAAATCCTGTGGTTTCCTACATCCATCCATGTTACATACTTCATTTTAGATGACAACTGCTCCATTATACCCTCTGTGAAAAGCAATTATTGCTGAAACTTCTAGATCAAGACTCTCTTATTGCAACTTTTACAAGCTTCTGAATTTGCATTTTCATGTTAGGAAATATTTCTTGTATTCCTTTTTATGTCATTTTTGTTTATGCAAAAATATATTGGCTTTTTATAGTTTTTCCTCATAATAGCCAGAGTTAACTGCTCTGTATTCACCTTGCTTACCAGCTGTATCCTTTGACTCATCTGGCAGTCTCAAAAATCCTCAGGAGCTATCACAAGTTCAGAATCTTCCGAAACTCTTTTCTCATGTGTTTTGAATATGTAAAACATTTCTAACATTACAAAAATGTTTTAGAAAAGAATTTGTTTTAAAATACTTTCATAAATGAAATTTTAGAACAGTATTCTTTTCCAGATGCAAACTAGAGCTGTTAAGTGAATCAAATCTTTGTATCATTATCAATATTTTAGAATTCCATGAACAATTTTTCTGGTAGAAATAGTTATTTGTGTTCAAGCTCAGAACTTTGAGAAAATGGAAGGTACAAATGAGGTCATTTATACAGCAGATTAAAGCCTTTTACTTCAATTTTCCTGAGTAGCTCCTTCACAATCAGGTCTATAAAGGTAATTTTCAGGTATCATAAAACTGTTTGGTATATTTTCTAAATAGTAAACAAACACTTAATTTAAAAAATGAAAATAAAGATTTATAATTTCTTTTAGGCCTTCAATTTGCCTCCAGTACTGTCAAAACTGTACTCTAAGGTACCAAAAGCATTTCGCTTCTATTTCTAAAACATATAAAAACACTATATAGCTCAACTTCAACAAATTTACTTTCCTAATGCAGAACATTAGAGTGACATCATATTCTTTCATGTTTGTTGTATCAACGTATCATCACGTCCAATGATATATCCCTTACAGCTGTAAAGCAATTTCACCTCAACCTTTCTGTGGCCATGTGTCTCAATTAATGCTTTGTCCATTACATTTTACCCCTGTTTTAAAGCTAGTTAAAGTGTGCATATCAACCCTGCATGCTTGGTAGTGATGATATAACCTGTCAGCTAGAGAGAACCTCCATGAAGTAATTTGTCATCACTCATCTCCTGAAATAATCTATAGTTGTCAGGGACGTCTGGATACTGAGAGAAGCTGTTGCAACAGCAGGCTGAGCGAATACCCTGCATTACAGCATCAGGTGCTTTTGGTGTTTGCACTTCATCCAGACCCCCCATCATGCCAGTATGAAAGTAACCTTTCCACCCTCAAGTAGGGAACCGCTGTGAATGTGACAGCACCCCTTGCTGCTAACTGTAACAGTGAACTGATAACATATCTAAAAGCAGGAGTCTTTGCAACCCTAAGACCCTGCTGGTGGGACAGACTCTTGATTAAAAAGTTAGCACGCACGTACTTTCTCCTTGCTAGACACAGAGTGGGACTCACATATAAACTAATAGGTTGTACTAAAACCGAAGTACCTCGGTGACACTCAGATCATGCTTTCAGGTTAAAAAAAAACAATGTTTTAAAGATGTCTTTTCACTGTATGAATTGCTTTCGTTCACGGCATCCCTCCTTCAACCTCCCCCAGACCAGCAATACATTTTGTGCTATGTCATTTCTTGATTTCTATGTCGGTTCTTTCTGCCAGACCTTACCTAGAAGCAATTGTGTTCTTCGTAGATCTGCAGCTGTAAGAAAACTTGACACATATCATATGTGATCTGCATAATCTATTTGTTAGTTATCTATCGAATGTTGATGAGCAGGAGCTCAGGATTATATCCCTGTCTTTGTGAGAAGAAAATGTTTTAAAGTTGTTTAAGTCAAGAGAGCTAGAAGTGGTTTAATCACTTTGCAAACTGTTTTATTCTATATAATACTTTATCCACGTTAATAGATGAGGATGCTGCCTGCAGTGATCTTACATAATCGTTCCATCCGTTCATTTTCAAAAATAGGAAGATAGTGTTCTGCAGCAATTCTCTCACTACCAAGGATTAAGAATTTCAATTCAGATCTTTTATTTTTGTTATATATGCTTGCTAACAATGCAGTTCACAAAAATCGGCTGAAGGTTATAAGAGATTTTTCTTCCAGTCAGCTTCGTGAAATGTTGCTATTCGCATATGTCCATTTAACCCACTTATATATAAAATCATATATACCTTCATTTAAGAAAAACATTCCACTTTCACTAAAGCCGTACTTGCTATGTTTACGTTTTACCATGATAATGTGCTTGTATGACCTCTTTAAGCAAAGTTTCAACAGTTATACAAATGATTTTTATCAAAGGAATCCAGAATTCACTCTGGGAAAAAATAGGATTTCTACTACCAGAAAAAAGAATGAAAAAATTTATATATCCTCATATCTCCATTTCCACAGTTCCCCAAATAGCACAAAGATACCTGTACTTTATTCCTCCACTCTTACTGGTCCTAATCCAGGCAACCCTACTTGCAAAGTTTTCCTCATTGCTTTCCTGCAATACTGTAAAGAAACTTTATCGACGTTTGAATTGATCTAGAGTTCTAAAATACAAAATAGACTTTACTAAATGAAGAAGAGGGAATAGGGGGTTAAAAACATTAAACCCTACACAAATTAGCTTACTTTCACTCCTCTACAGATCACAGCAAACTAAAGAAACGGGCACAATGACAGAGACTGGAGTGAAAAGACAGAAAAATGAACACTAGAAAAGATTCGAGATCAGTACGAAAAGAACGAAGTGAAGCCACATATGCAAAATCCAAACAGAATGAGAAAACTAGTGCTTCTGTAAGGTATTTAAGTCTTTCTAGCAGGTGCAGATACTTGTCACGGTCTTTAACTACCTGTCTGAAGTTACATCCAAACTACTGGAAAGTATTTTTAAAAGCATACACCAGTGAAGGTAACAATCCTTCCTATTTTTAGTTTTTATTATATCACATATCTTACTAGACTTGAATTTAATATCTCAGCACCATAAAAGCAGAAAGGCAGCTCTAATAGAGAGCAAGAAATGATTTTATGTACATATATATAAATATATGTGTGTGTATTTACATATATGTATATAAAAATACACTCTCACACACAAACACAGACGCACACATGCACAACTTCTACCAACAAAAAATTCAAACTCAGCAAGACTATAACAGGTTGTTTACCTTTTTTAGTCAATGCTATATAAATCTAAACACCTACCGCAATCTAAAACATCAGTTAATATTACCTTTATTCTTCTCTATTAAATTTTCCATTGCACATCTAATATTTCTCTCTTCACTACTGACTAAGAAAACAACTGCCTGCATAAGCACTGAAAACTATATACGCACCGGAGACAAGGCAGTCCACTTTTTTGAGAGGCAGAACACCTTCCCAGGCAAAATGGTTTATTTTAAATAGCTTTTCTGAGTACAAAGGATGCTGGAGTGCTAACTCTTTTTGCCTCCAGCTGAGACAGTTTGCTGCTACTGGAGACACAGATACTGTTTGTTTCACCACTTCTATGCCATATCCTTTCTGTTACCTCAACACTCAACATTGTTTTGATAAGGAACAAAATTTTGTAAAATCATTGATCAAAAATACTTCTAATATTTTTTACTTTTAAAATGCTGAAAAAAATCACGTTTTAAATAGAATAGCAAAGAGGAAAAAAGGGGCCCTGACATTTTCACATGCTTTGAAAAACTGTTTACCATTTGTTCCCCTCTAATCAAAATGCTTACATTTTTGCCTGTAACCAGAGGCGCTTCTGAATTTTGAACAAGAACAGGCAAGAATCTTTCCAACAAACCTTTTTCATGTCATACTTATTTCTCTTTGATTTTCTTTAAAATTAAGATTCTATCATTAATCATAAAAATCACAAAAGTAGATAATTTGCAGGTAAAAAGAGAATTACATACCTTGTAGTGGATAACAAGACCATAAACCCAAATATTCTTCTTTTTCACTTCCCTTGCAAATTTCTTGATCCTAGTTAGTTCTTCCATCTCAATGCTGCAAGAAACATTTTCTGAACTATTCAAATGCACCTGCAAAGGAACAAAGATGCAAAAAAAATCCACTTTTTCAAAATGCATTACTTTAGACTGCCAAATATTAGTATATCATTGTTAAGCACACACAAAAATACAAGCTAACAAAAGTTTTTTCTTAATTAGCTTCTAATTGCATATTAAAAATGTTTAATTGAATCAGAAAACAAACAATAAATTCTTTTCTAAGCTCTAAACTAACTTCCACGGAATTTTTTTGTAGCAGGAAATTAGAGAAACTCAGATGTCTTTCTCAAGCACCTTGAAGGTTTTCAAAATGGAACTTTAAATTTAGTATCTTTTTAGTGTTGCATCTTAGTTGCCTCAATTGCATTCATTTCAACACAACACTTGAAGTTTAAAAAGCAGAGACTACTTCAAAAGGGATATGACCAGCGCTTGGGGCAAGGAAAGGCAAGTCTCATTCACCCAGCCGGGATGCTGCACAACCCTGCCTCGTCCCACAGGACCTGTGCTAGCATCTCGGAGGAGATAACAACTGGGTCACCTGGCTCAGGGCTCTCTGAACTCTTTCC